CTTAATATAAAAGCTTAAGACATAAGGAGAGGGCAGGTAAAAGGAAAAACGTTAATTCCAGCACATACGAAGTTGTGAACTAAGTCAGATCGTTCAATCACATTTTAGTAAACAACATGACAAATTAAGTAGGCCAGGAATTTCAAAGTTGAAAACCAATATCCTGAACTCAGATCCAAGTAAACATGTTTATCAACAAGTGATAATTATCGTAAAATGTAAAATTAACTATGTTGTTTATAAAATGTCCCTTATAATCTACAATCATGGACAAAAATAGTGTAAATTAAATCCCATATAATCGTAAGTGCTCTATCACAAGTCCAAAAGTCTTGATCTAATCCAGAATGTCTTTGAATGAATCCTCAGTAATCTCAAAGTAATATTTTGATCCAAAATGTCAATAAGCACATTGCAATTTCAATTAATGAATCTAAATAAAAAATTGAGTTCAAATTATATCTGAATGTAACAGCAATGATTTAACAGACTGAACATAAAATAGGACAGAATAATGATTTACCTTATTTCCTTTATATTAAAAATGTCACCTGGACTAATACGCAATAGTTATTTTCTGGAAAACGAATAGTCCTTAAGAGAACATTTCATCAATTCGTAAACAAGGTAATGCTTTGAACTAACGCTAAGCGACAACGACAGGCATCTGTCATCCCGCCACCGCGGCCAAAACTGTAAGCCTCAGAGGTATCTTGTCCACGACTTTACGTAAAACCACAAAACCATTGTAAAAGGTGACTCGCTACCTATATTCTACAAACGTGTGATATTATTATAGTCATAAACAAAACGCATTTGTTATGTATGCACACCATACAAATTTTTAATTAGACTTAAAAATCCGCATTTTTTTAAAAATGAAACAATATTCGGCAATCTCTGGAAACAACCGGTAGTTTCCGCGTGCCAAAAACGGATATGACGTACATTTATCCCTTCTATCCTACCTAGCTATTCAAGTGTTTAATTTCCCACGTAAATGTCTGTGTGATATATCTTCCGATCGTGCTTTTTGTACAGCAAATATGGTGCACTGTGATGCATATGCATGTAACCAAAAGAGTGATGATGAGAAAAAAAGGATTTTTTTTCCCGAACGACCCTGTTTGCCAGAAAAAAAAGTGGATTCAAGCTGTGGTATCGAATAGGGTAACGGGATGGGAAAGTTGTATCATTTACCCCGGATTATAGTCAATTTAGCCCAAAGACAATTCGGTCCAACTCGAAAGACAATTCGGCTCAAGTTAACAATAGCTTGAATGAATTCTTTTTTCTTCAAACAACACGTCGATACTATGCAAGGTACGTTTTAGGAATAGGTTTTAGGGTAAAAAGTAAATTTAAACGAAAACTCTTGATATTCTTTCAAAGAAAATAATCATACATGGTAATGAATCGACACACCTTGCTCGCTCTAATTAAAATATTTACATACATTTTTTAATGCCATATATATATATATATATATATATATATATATATATATATATATATATATATATATATATATATATATATATATATATATATATATATATATATATATATATATATATATATTCTCAGAATAAGTCAATCTTGATTTATTAAACAATGATACTTAACAGATTATATTCTACAGAATACTTATACATTTTTTCTAGGGGTACTGTACATGAGATATTTTAATAAATATATTTAATTGAAGGCTTCACGTTGTAACACTGCTGTATATAATACACACTCGATTACACATATGAGAGAGAGAGAGAGAGAGAGAGAGAGAGAGAGAGAGAGAGAGAGAGAGAGAGAGAGAGAGAGAGAGAGAGAGAGAGAGAGAGAGAGAGAGAGAGAGAGAGAGTAATGTTGAGCATTTTGTCAGTGATTTGCAATATGAAGCTCTTACCAGTTAATTTTATTATTTGTTTCAATTTTCAAGTTGTCTTAGTGAGTGAGCGCGTAAATTAAAAGCTTGCCATTACTAGTCAATATCTTCAATCATTCCATGCAAATAAGAAAGGAAGTAATTTTGTTTTGAATTTCGCCCCTCCCCCTGTACGGTACAAAAAAAAATGATATACATACACTTATTTGAAAATAAAATGAAAAAACTAACCTTGCATTGTTATCATTTATTCCTTTTTCCATCATGCGAAATTTCTTAATGAAAAAAATATATCCACGAACTCCGTATACACTGTGGATACCCACTTGCGTATGGATCCTTACTGTAGTGTGTATCGCTTATGTCAAATAACAAAATCGCAAAACAGACGAAAATATCACCCGATTGCTTTAAGACACCTGCCATTTACGCATAAGTTACAAGGTGTAAACTGACCAAGACTGCATTCTATCCAGGTTAACTATACGACGGTATCTCGCAAATAAGAATGATTATTTTAAAATACATCCACTGTGAGTGCAAATGATAATCTTTTTTCTTGCATGGGTTACAAAAGTGTTATTAAAGCAAGTTATTGTTGTGTGTACTATCTGCCTGCAAACATTAATTATGATTACATCTGGCAAAAATTAGAAGCCCGGGTGATGGAGAAACAACTGGCAACCAGTAATAAACTCCTTGATTAAACTTAAGCGACAAGATATCAAATATAAAGGTTATTTTATTACAAAGCAAACCAATCCTGGAAACTGACGTTAGTATCTTTTAAGTGTGCCGATTTTTTTTTTCTTATGAAGTTGACCGACATACGAAACCTAGGTTTGGTTCATTTGGATTAATTTAAGTGTGCCGATATCTTTTTGTCATAATTAAGTTGGCCGACATAGAAAAGCCAGCATTGATCCGTGTTTTTTTTTTCTCTGTATTAACGGGAATTTTCAAAATAAATTGAAACAATGGAAGTTTTGAAAGTAACACAGTCTAGTGCGTCGCGCACGCATATCGTTATAAGGCTGAACAGTAAATTAGTTTTCAGTAGTTTCATCTAAATGTTCCCTATCCATAGTTTATAAAGTTTTATTTTTCGACAACAGGAAGCATGTTCTTCGTCTTGTGGGGATAAATGCACGTCATTTCCGGTTGGAGTCTTGTATGGAATCAGTACACAATTAATAAAATCCGGTTCAGTACCCACGAAGGTAGTCTCAGTCTAATTTTAGATCACTTTTCCTGTCTAAGTTTGGTGGTGATACTAGAGTCAGATTTTGGCATTCTTGGTAATGATTTAAAGGCAATTGTTTATTCTTTAAAATGTGAGCTTATGGTGTGGTTGTCTGTGTGTATTTCGGCGACTGCATATCGAGTAATAAGGTCATGGTGATGATCCGGAAGTGAAATCTGTGTTCCGTTGCCTGGTGTTCTGTTTACAATTCAGTCTCTCAAAAAAATGCAGGTCAACCCTTGACAAGAACTAAACCGTAAAGTCATCTTTGAAGGTATTTTAGATTAATATATGATTTGTAATGATTGTCACAGAGTGGAAAGTTCAGTACTGAGAAACAAATGTAGAGACAATATAGTAAAATTAATTGTGTTATATGGCCGTATAGGTGGGGAATAGTAGCTAGGGGAAGTAACAGCGTTGCATATGTCTACTTCGAGTAATTAAATTATTATTTCTTCTTTACATTTCATAATGTTTTGTTCTTTTGTACGAGTGTAAGTACTTTTAATCATGTAATGCAAATCTGATATAAAGAGAAAAAACGTAGGAGTATGGCAGGTGACTTTTAAGAGACTTAAATAGCTATAGGGTAGGGGAAAGAAAGATACCGATCATATGTAATCAACAAAAGGAGTTATTGATAGTATATCTGTTGATATCAATTTATATATATATATATATATATATATATATATATATATATATATATATATATATATATAACGACAAAAAATAATATATAAGTTGATGATTGTTGCAGCATGACAGCATATATAAAATAGGTCAATAAAATATTTCCGGTCTCATATATATATATATATATATATATATATATATATATATATATATATATATATATATATATATATATATATATATATATATATATATATATATATATATATATATATATATATATATATATATATATATGTGTGTGTGTGTGTGTGTGTGTGTGTGTGTGTGTTCTGTAGTTGCCTTTGAAAACGACTCGTTAAGAGTCGAATGCGCTCAGGGTAATTAGACACTAGTTTTGCACTATTCTTTGTCAGTTTATTGCACACACACACACACACACACACTTGCAATAGGTAACTCGTTTTGTTGATATAAAAGACGTCATTTTGATCACATATACAATAAAAATGCAGCATTATGGAAGTATTAGGTTGCCGTCGACATGAGATATATCTAGTGCATATGTTATCAAGTGAACATCTTTTAAGTCAACAAGGCAAGTTAACGATTGCAACTTGTCGGCATGATCATGTAATCATGACAAAACAATTGCATACATAGATGTTTATTTTGTGGCAACAAGTAAATAAGACAAACAGATATACTAGGTTTTCATCATAATAAGACGTCAGCGCACTGCAGGCAATACAAGACGTCGACTTCATCACCTATGCGATAGAATATCTCATGTCCATGATACTTCCATACAGCACTCTGTGTGTGTGTGTGTGTCTATATATATATATATATATATATATATATATATATATATATATATATATATATATATATATATATATATATATATATATGAGAGAGAGAGAGAGAGAATTTCAATCTTGAATTTTATGGTTAGTCCTGTATTACTAGTACTTAGACAATTTGCTCATCGCTTCTTATGAACAAGTACGTTTATATTTATTGTGTGTGATTTAGATTTTTAACGTGCATTTAATAATTTTTCAGTCATATTGCTACGATGTCCACAGTGTGACAGTTTGTAGTGATGTTTAGCACTGGGGGATACAGTCACATTATCCTGACATCAGCCAGGCCAGTCCTAACGCTAACCTCTTACTGTTGTGCGCCAAACGAGGCAACTATTAGTACCATTTTTTAAAGTCTTTGGTATGACCCAGCCGGGGTTCGAGCCTGCGACCTCCCGCATTCAAGGCGGACGCTCTAACTACTTGGCCACCGGAGCGGTGCATGCATCATGCTTATGTAAGACAATGAATATATATATATATATATATATATATATATATATATATATATATATATATATATATATATATATATATATATATATATATATAAACCTCTATATTTCTATCTGTCTGTCTCTCTACAAAATAAAAGAAGAATACATTCATTTCGTATTTTTATTGTCAACAATAGATTGATCAAAATGCTATTACATAATTTTGGGACAATATTATATTAACTAGAGGAGATACATTGGAATTCTTATGTAAAATAAAAAATATATAATTTGTTAATCTAGGGTTATAGCTTATATTCTCTGAGCTTCAAAGAGTATTTATGAGATACTGCAAAGTTTAAATGAAAGCAACAAAAAGAGAAACACTCATTAAACATATGTGAATAAAGCAGACGACTACAATAAAAAAAACTCTATCGTCATCTTTTGTTTCCTTGCATTCGTGTCTCTCTGATTTGGTAAGTGTATGCATGCACATGGAAGAAAGGGAGAGAGGAAAGAGAGAACAGGAAATAAAACAGTAAATTTAATCAGAAAGGAACCAAGATCATAACAGTACCAACAATATGGTAGAACGGTAAATTGACAATGGAACTTTGAAGAATGCTCCGCACACGTATTTGGATCAAATCGGGGTTTCCATCTTGAAAACATTTTTTAAAATTTTACAAAAAAATCCTAAAGAAACATGATTACCAAAGGACTTATATTTGTATGATAAAAACTCTATGCAAGTTCGACAAGAGGTGTTGAAGTTGTAAAGTTTTGAAACTGTATCTCTTACATAAATTTGAACCATACAGGTGACTGACTTGACTACAGATCAACCGCTTGACCGACCCCAAAACCGGGTTCAAAAAATGTTAGGTAAAAGCAAAGGTAGGTAAAGGTGACTACAGTGGTCAGCAATCCAAAAGAATTATTATTATTATTCGCTTATTACAGTGGAAACTCTAGACTGAGACCTCAATTGACTTGTGGGTTTAGTATCTGTCAATGAACTATTACAGAACTCTTGTAGTACTGTAAGAGCTATGCGCACTCAGACTGGCCATCTAAATCCATGTTGGTTTGAGCAACGAATTGGCGGGAAACTAAAGAACCATTCGGAAATACCTTGGCTATTTCTCGAGTGTATGTCGGCCCAGTAATTCACAGAAATATCATGTAGTTTGTTCTCTGGAAAATTGTTAGCAGAAAAAGAAGCACAATCTATTCGAAAGACCTCAAATATTTATCAATTGTACTGACTGTGTTTGACCAAAAGAATTTATTATTATAACAACTACACATGCAGTTCTTTATAAGACATTATCAATCCAATTTTAAATAAATGCGCACGTTACCTCTGAATCATATATCAATCAGAGGTGCATTTTCAAAAAAGAAACAAGTCAGAAACCTGGTTTTAATGAAATATATAAAAATGTGGGTGGAGCCTTTTTCCGAGGGCTAATTGAGGTGAATGATATTGTAAGTCACAAATTCCAACACCTGTTCAGTTTGTAACAGAATCGCATAGCTTGACAAAAATGCTATGTCGTTGGCATGTTTTTTTTTTTAATATTCGTACCACTTGGTTATGCTGACTCATTTCGGCGTTAAAGGCTCTTAGAGAAAATATGCATCATATATTTTGTGTGTTGCGCATGCACTACTCTTTGGATCTCAAGCATAGACATACCAATAACCAGTGGGGTAAATTCAAAATGTTGCCTCCTCTCACCGCCATGTTGAATGCTCCATCATGGCCCCACTTGTCAGGGCCTCTGAAGAGGTCGTTACGTAACTGTTAATGAGGTATTCTTAGAAAAGAGTGAGAAACGCCCATCTTCACCTAATTCCATCCACGACAAAGGGAATTTGCCAGGCTGTAGCTACGAAATAGTTTTTATTTTGAACAAGGGGAATAATAAATAAGCGTAAAAACATAACAACAAGGAAGCTTATCAAATAACAAAACTTACAAACATGCAATTACAATGTGTGTATTTTAAATGTAATCATATTTCCCGAAAATAGATGCAACGTAGTTTCTACCGGACATAATTGAACTCTCATTAACAAAAACGGGCTTGTTAAATCGTAAGACTTTTCAAACCTCCTCTACAGAGTGCACATGATCCTGAAAATACGAGCAAATCGTTTTAACTTTAAATAAATGAGAAACATTATATTTGTTAAATTAGTTTTTTAAAACTGCTACGGATAAAGAAGACGAGAAAGTCACATTGCAGGATACAAAATGGTGTCCTTCTTTGCTTGAAGATAGCTTGAATGTTTGGTCAGACAATCACATTTTTAAAGAACAACAACGTTGTCCACATCACATTTTTTGTTGAGATAATCACATTTTTAAAGTCAAACAACCATACACGGTTAAGACTTACTTGTATATTATATTTGCTTGAAGGCTGTAAACGGTACTGCAATATATATATATATATATATATATATATATATATATATATATATATATATATATATATATATATATATATATATATATATATATATACGTCGCAAGCAGATAAGAATTTGATCAAACACGTTTTTCGAGTAACTTGACACATTAGATTGTGTTATAGTCTTGACACTTGTTGTACACTAGGTCATGTATTTAATACAAGTATATGATAAATAATATCAAAATTTAATTTGAACACTGTCCACAACATTCCATTCTAAACAATATATTTTTATAAAATTGATTTCAAATTTATTTTTCAAAAGATTCAGTGTTTGGGAGATAAATGACTTGTCATGGTAGAGGTTAGTGTATATTTACAAAAGTGGTATTAACATTATGATCAAGAATGTTAATTGACCATCTGAGACAGGAATAAGATATTGGTATTTACTACGATCAATACTGTTAAGTGGCCTTCTGAGACTGGATTAAGTGGTATTAATTTTGATCAAGCCTGTTAAGAGACCTTCTGAGACTGCATTAAGATAATGGTATTAATATTATGATTAAGTTTTTAAGTGGACTTCTGAGACTGGATTAAGACTGGATTAAGATAATGGAATTAATATTAAGATTAAGTTGTTAAGTGGCCTTCTGAGACTGGATTAAGATAATGGAATTAATATTATGATTAAGTTTTTAAGTGGACTTCTGAGACTGGATTAAGACTGGATTAAGATAATGGAATTAATATTAAGATTAAGTTGTTAAGTGGCCTTCTGAGACTGGATTAAGATAATGGAATTAATATTAAGATTAAGTTGTTAAGTGGCCTTCTATGACTAGACTAAGATAATAGTATTAATATTAAGATTAAGTTGTTAAGTGGCCTTCTATGACTAGACTAAGATAATAGTATTAATATCATGATTAAGTTGTTAAGTGGCTTTCTGAGACTGGATTAAGATAATGGAATTAATATTAAGATTAAGTTGTTAAGTGGCCTTCAAAGACTGGATTAAAATAATGGTATTAATATTATGATCAATGCTGTTAAGTGCCCTTCTGAGACTGGATTAAGATAATGGTATTAATATAATGATCAAGACGGTTCAATGGATATCTGAGACTTGATTAATATAATCATATCTATATTGAAAATATTTATAATTTGGTACGATTAGATTTAGCTACCTGGATTTAATAGTGTAATGGATGAATACGATTCCAGTTCTTTGATTGGAGACTGTCCAGCATAATTGGACTGAAAGTTTTTAAGGCTGGCAGATAAAAGAATAACAACAACAAAACCAGCATATAGAAACAATAACAAAACAAAGAACCCAAGAATCAAGTTGCAAATTGTTGAGTCAGCAAATTTTTCGATACTACACCATTTGAAGTAAGTTCACTAGAGGCTTTCATCTGACTGCACATTAACCATGTAAGAAAGAAAATATACGTTGCATATGATTTAATCAGATCAAGCTAAACTGAAGATAAAAAAATGCTCACTAAATGTTCACTTTTATTCTTATATTGTCATGCCAAAATTGTTTAGTGTAGTCTAATCTCTTTGTTTCAAATTTTAGAACACAAGAATGCATGCCAGGAAGGATCACATTAGTAAAAATATAAATACCAAGGGTATATGTTCTGTAACAAGTTAACAAATGGAAAGGTAACTGCATATTGTAAAGACGGAGTATCACTAAACTCGATACTCCAACAACGTGGCAAAGCGCTCATCATCTCCCCCATAATTTGCTGCAAGAATAACTTTGGTATCTGTTCCATAATACTTTTCAATGTTGATAACACCCTCCCACTGAACGGGCCCGCGTGAGGTTAATTCCTGAACATTCTGTTCCACAAAAATAACAACTTTTTTTGCCTTCGGCACATGGACTCTGAACTTTACTTCAGGTGTATTAGTCTTGCTGTGAAGAATCAGTGGTTCAAACATGAAGCACCCCTCCTTCCAATGGCCGAGTTGCCTTGGATACGGGTAGACGGGTTCTACGTCACCTTTACAATAAATCAGGTAGTTGAAAAGGCCTAAGGATGTACTAGAAGCATCCCGAAACGTGTTTCCGTGTATTTGCAGCTTGAAAAATCCCAAGCAAGGAATGTTAACAAGGAATGTCACAATGGATGGTTGTGTTTGGATGAAGACATAATCAGACAAATCTCTTCCAGTTTCCACTTCTAGAAGCTGAATATTAAATTTCATATCTATCGAAGTCCCAAGCTGGATTTCTACATGATTTAAATCTTTGAGCTCTATGAGTGGATCATGATGATTCAATGTTTTCAGGCCAAACTCGATGAACTTTGGCTGAGGTCCAAGAAATCCCGGGGACAAGCTTGGAAAGTTGTTGTCCTCCACTTTCTCATTACATTCAACAAGATATTGAGCAATTTGTCTAAACCTCATGTCATCCTTTTCCTGCGTGTCCGGATCGCGGGCGTAGATCTCTAGACCATATCGTCCATTTCTTTTCGGAATCACTGTAAAAATTGCACTGTTTTCTATAATTTTGTAGAGAACCATAGGAGATGCACCGTC